AAACGAAAGCACCATTTAGATATGTGGTAAAGCTGCATGCTCTAGATATCTTCTCAGAAAGTGTGGCCAAATCAGGGCAGTTTGTGACTTGTTTGTAAAGATCGGGTTTTTAACCGCTTAAACATTAAATAACGTCCTAGATCACATGCATACCTACTATAATCCGCTATAATATTTCATTGTGTATTTAGATAATCCGTGTAGACCAATGTTAAGTTATATTACGTTTAGTGTTGATACGTTCGTCATGTCACGGTTGATTCTGTATACTATAAAACAGTATAGTTTTAGTCCTATCTCAGGATTCGAATGCTGTAGTATTAGCCTAAACTCTCGGGAGTTGTTACTGGGTAAGTGGGAAGAGACCGAGTGGCATAGGGATCGGATATAGAAAGAAAGCCTTTTCTCTCGTTGAAAGCTGCCCATGAGGCGCGCGGACCGACTCCTACGGCGTTCTGTCCTTTACCCACTTTGTGCTATGGAAGTGCTTCTTATTATTGTTATGGCTAAAATTCCAAAGCGACCTTGATGGATTGCTCTACCGATTGCCCTTGCTCTGTTTACCCGATGTGATCTGGTTGCCGCCCATCGTGTGTTGCCTCCGTAACGTTTTCCCTGTACGAAAGAGTCAAATCGTTCGTGCTGGAGTGGCCGCGCGTATTTACCATTCTTTCGTTCGCGCGAATTTCTTCCTGTTTTTGTTACATCTGCTATGACTGACAAATACCATACGATACAGTCTTTTAGTTTAGTAACTACTGCTGATTAGGAATATTGAATTTGTCGGTTATGACTAACCAGTACATCAGCCTACAGAGTAGGTAAATGAATCAATAAACACTCACTACTTACGTTGGCGATGTTTAGAGAAGGCATTGTTGAAATAAACGTGCATGGTCGTATCCACTGAATCAAGTTTTGTCAAGGAAACGATTGAGGACGACACGTTATATCTTTACGCGTGCCCATGAAGGTTTAGGACATATGAAACGGTGGAGATTCGATATCATACCTAGGTTCACTTCTTTTTCTGCTGAGGGCCAACCTTGTCCGAAACATTACTCAACATCAGTCCTATCAGAAACAGTTACTTCTTATGTTTTCTTTAGTAGCATATTTTTCATAGGTATATATGCAATTTACATATGGTGGAGTGCTTACTGCCGACATATTTGCTGATATTTGTATCATCGCTAAGTATTCATTTATAATGATCTCAGTATAGGTCGAAAGAAGGTTCTGTCGACAAATACGAAACGAAATGACCAAACATGAGGGGCCTCTGATATGAGCTCAGCAGACGCTAAACGAATGAGTTCTGACCGTAGCGATATCAATGGTATAACGAAAATCGATGATGAGTCGGCAACGTCCACGATAGACAACGACCGGAAGGAATGGCAGCTATTGTTCAAAGGGCCAACACCAAGCTGGTAATTGTTGAGTGAACCTATAGCTTGTGCTAATTGATTATCAACGAAATGTATGCTCTGTGTCTCCATTGTTCCATATCACAGAGAGTGTTAAAGATGATGGAAGTTAACTGTGGCAAATTTGGACAACGAACCCGGCTTCTATAGAACAGATCAGTGATTTTGCTCCAACACGCAAACGAACCAGAACGGAAAGTCGCAATAGCAATGAACAGTTTGAGGCGGATCCGTGGCATATCCAGCTATCAACCGGCTTTTGCGCGGAAAGACAGCGGCTGCGCTTAACACCGTTATCACCAACCGTCGCCGCTCAGCAAAACTCTGACATCCTTGTTACCACTGTCGTGAACCAAACATCACTGGCGTTTGTTAGACATGACGTCCGGCTGAAAGGGGCTACAGGGACTACATGCTTGGTGAAAACCACCAGGGCGACCGTGCTTGCTTCGATTGTTAGCCCTGATCGGGAGTTGGTAGACTAAGTTGTCGAGGAAAGATTCTTGGGTGTCGCTTTTGCTAAAGGTTGCCTTTCTGTCTTTCCGCTCCTACAGTGGCGTGCGGCGTCAGGAGCTGCTAGGAATTGTTAGGAAGCTTCTGGGTTGCCGGCGGCGGCAGAGCAGCGGCCGAGCTGACTACGGCCGATTGGAGTCCATTCCATTGGTCGATGGAAGGCGACGCTTATGTTTGCACACAGAACATAGGCGCGCCTTCTATCTTCTCTTCGCCCGTCGATGCTTGGCGAGCCATAATACAGCCCCCACGCGAGTTCAGCATACACACACATATAACGATGTGAGGTAAAGATAGGCAAAGAGAAATCGAGAAACGAAGACAGGAAGGAGTCGAGAGAGTGAAAGCAAGTGAGGCGGCTGGAGATGGAACAGGGACACAAAAGGCATTGTCACCACCATCGCTGAAAGACGATTTGCCAGTGGTTCTTGCTCGCAGTTCGCCGCAGTCGACAGTGACAGCGGTATGTGATGGCCCAGATGGGACGGCTTAGCCTGATGGTAGCCTGCGGGAAAGCAATGTTCCACGAGGCTATAAACAACGAACTAGGCTGTGGCAGCGGCCGAGTGCCCGGATTCGCCGTTCTTCATTCTCTTTACCACAAGAGGGAATGACATCGCATTGAACGTTGGTTGAGAATCTTATCATTGGTATACTCAGGCCACTGTACGATATGTGGCTGTGGCAGTTGCTGGGGCGACAGACAATGTCGAAGCATTGGACTTGTGGTCGCAGGAGTCCTAAACATCGTATTCGTTGTGATAGTAACGGTGGCCGTCGTTGTAGGATTTCGTCCCAAGAAGCAGCTGCATAAGCAAGCAGCGCAAGCAGACAGCATGACAGGTCATGAACCCACCAACGATCTATGCTAAGGCACGACTAAGCACAAACCCGAGCTAGCAGGGCACACAGAAAAAAGCGTTCAGTGCACCACACCGGCATTCCTTCCCTTGACGGCTTCACCGATTTAAGCCCCTCCGCCCACTCCCTCCCGAGAATTGCCCTCAACGATAGAGATCGCCTTACAGTTGTTATTATCGCGAACCGCGCTGTGCCTTGGCCGTAGGCGCAGGCCTAATAGTAAATTGTGCCTATTGGCTAAAACGCGGAGTCCGGCCTGCAAGGATGTCAACCAATACGATAGGCGACACGACCGAACGGAGTAAAGAGGGATAGCGAGAACCACTGCAAGTATTACTCGTATGATTAATGTAGGAGCGTCCATTCATCTCCGCTAAAAACGCAGAGAATCGCCCAGAGCACAGTCGCTGCAGTGGCATGCTAGCAACGACCAGCAGTCAACGTCCGTAAAACCAACTCATCGTCCAAGACGGTTCTGACGACACAACGTTGGCTCCATGAGACGCCAAGAAGTAGTCTCTTGGCATTCGTCTTTCCACCCATACCAGCAGATCTGCAACCCACAATTTCTGCAACTACGACCGTCGCGACTACTCGAAACGCTAAGCAGCACACCGATACGGCACAAATCAAGCAAGTCTCGGCATCAGCGCGATACTAACGATGGTAGCCAATCCCGACCGGAACACGCAGTGGCAACGCTGGCTTGGCGTGGGGCAGTAACATTTCTACGCATCGGAAGGTGCGGCAGAAGTAATAGCAATAGTGACGCAGGTTGGAAAAAAACCTTGGCCACCGACAAAGCTTGTAAGGACGAGTGGTCAGGGGCAATGTTAAGGACGTCTGTAACCATGACCGCGGCAATCAGCGACGAGAACAAGAGGAAGTAGCAAAGCAGGTGACACGAAACTATTGCTCGGCGACCATTGGCAAAGACGTCCCTTTGTTTCATCGTATCATGCAAGCCTACGACCGATGTCCTACAAAGCTAGCGATATAGGCCAATGGGACAATAATACGATGGCGAGTATACGTCTAAAGCGACAGTATGATCAGGAGTCTGTTCCGGCGATGTTTTAGGACATGTAAGGATAATGACTATAAAGACAGCAGAGTAGAAAGGAAGACGCGTCTCAGGAATAAATACGGAACCTTTCAGCGGATTAGACCTTAAATAGTGACCCCCAGCGGTAGTTGTGGCAGTGGCACTGGACTACGCATACTTTAGCTAGTTGCAGCTCAGTCACGCTGTTTGCCACATAGTAATGTAGCTATATGCCTGTTTTGGTGATTCGATCTTACAATTAGTGTATATCCAACAGCGTTTTATACCGCTATAACGAAGATTGTCCTACCATAGGGTCCACCCATATGCCGCTGCCAGCCATAAGGAGGTATAATTATCCAACACATCTGCTCTCTCAGCCCTGGCAAACTAGGAAGGATTAAAATGGGGCATTCCGTCGTTGGACTACTGCTAAAAACCATCCACTATCGTTCTATTATCGTTTGAAGGAAACTACGACCAACCAAAAATACACAATATAAGGAAGAATATGAGACAGAAGGTAGTAGAAAGGATAATAATAAAAGCCAAATATAACTGCGGCTGCCACACACACCGCGCGTTTATAGTTTGGCTTCTCGTGTATTTCGACGAGCAAGAGACGAAGTGATATGGGGCCAATGGGTCAAATGAAAGAGGAGAAAAAAAAATTAAAATGTCGGAACAATATTGAAAGCAGGCCAATAAGGTCAGAGCTAAAGCTCTTCCACAAGTGAGAATTCCTCTAGCATCTTTAGATTCTGCCACTACACATGCGTGTTTCTAAACGTTATTCCTCTCGTGAAGCGTAAAAATTAGAGAAAATACAACGAGATCAATGATACGATTGGTGCGATGAAATACATGCGTATTTGGCAACACGCGATCGGGTTGTACTCCAGTGACGTAAACAGTCCGGGGCTTGACCGGTTTAAGCGTTATCGGTACAACCTGGGACACTGTTGTTGATCTCATGACTCCACGTGGAACATCGAAGTCTACCTGTCTTAGTTATATCTTTGAGAGGTCGACAAATCTCTTTCTATGGTTACATACTTCCTTTCTTTTTATCATAGAGCAGCCTTAACAACAGCGTCTATTATTGTTTACTGCCAATTTAGCTACGGTTTTAAGCAACTTACTTCACTTCTTACAACAGCTAGAAATGACTAAGGACTGCCGGGATTGATTGCGCTTGAGGTGAACGAGATGCCGGTGGCCTTTTTTGGTGGACTGAAAGAGGATCAATGAGGGCAGTGAGAGAATATGTGGAGGTAAAACAGAAAAGGAAATTTAATAGGAAAAAGCAGAAAAATTCCCCACTTTTGTTATTATTGTTATTGTTGTTACTTGCAGGACAGCCTCTAAATCTGAAACAATCAATCTGAGGCACTTGAATTTTAGCTGAATGTCATGGCTTTGCAGAAACATTTGCGTATATTCCGCGTATCTAAAAGTTGCACAGAATCGCAAAATCAAGCGAGAGAATGTCCTTCGGAAAGTAAACTTCAGTAAAAATGGGTATACAACAAAGCAACAATTAAAATTTGAGGCGTTCTTCTAAGATTTTTCCTTTGAAAGTGTATGGTAACACCATACGTACAATTATATCTTTAAAACAAGAAAGAATCCTCAACCTAATTCGAGCAGCATTTGTCTCATTCATGTAATGAGTGGTATGTCCACTTGAGCACTTTCTGGCTGGGCCTAAACCTGTGAGCACAAATACTTTCTGCTAAAGGCCTATTGCCGAATTTATGAACCGTTTCTAGTACATTACGAATTGAGCGTATCGCGGTGCTCATGCTGATCCAACGTACCTGCACGGTTGGATGACAGCAACAGTTTACACAGTATGAATTTGGATTGGTGACCTCAGCAGAGATTCCCTAGTTGCGAGTTTGGTCCTACATACGTTGCGGCTGGAACGGAAGCCTCGTGAAAACGTCTGTTGTATAGCTGGAATACACAACACACGTTTTTATCAAATGACCTTCTATTGACTGAGCTTCTATTATTAGGTCGTATCTTTCGCACGGTTTATGCGGTGCGTCCATCTAAAGCTTAACATTGGCACGTTCCTAATAATCCTTGAATACGAACTGCGTGAAAAAGTGCTGGACAGTCTAATATAAGCATTTAAATAGTACCTCATCAGCCGATTATTTGCTATTGGTTATAGCTTCGATTTACGTGCGCCTCGAGGGACGACTGCATGTCTTGACGTAATAACTTGAACGGCCAAGCGGTTTATTGAGAAGCGTGAGGGGTCACTGCTCTAAGTTCCGCCAAAGACACACGCTATACGACCTGTGTGAATAAAGAAGGTAATTTTTTTGTTAGTCAATTATTAAACCATCAATCAGCGGATGCTATTTTTCAGAGACGCAGAAGCTTTCTTTAATTTGATGTTTTTGCTTGCTATAGACTCTGCTTTAGTATGCTGTGTTATCACCGAGTCGTGTTATGTTCTATTAGAACGGTTGTCTCTTAAGATGGATATGCTGGACGAACTTCTCTCCAGAGCAGCGGCCATCAAGGCAAATCAATTAAACCAATAACTTATGCATCAATTGATTTAACTTTGTGCAATGTCGACCGCCAAATGGACAGATAACGCCAATGATGGTGACACTGCACTACCCTCTATCCTGCTTAGCGAACTGATCCTAAGAGACTCTTTGCATTTAGCAAGCCTGTCCTTTATAGTATCCAGTTAATGCTTCAGGAAGGTATCCTGTAGCTCTGCGTTGGAGGCCTTTTAATTACATCCATTACTCGAGAGGACTTACATCGTGGTCCATCGTACTTTTAGCACACTATTTACGGCACTAGAACAGTGAGCCTATTTTTTTTTTTTGTCATAGATAAGTAAACTTGGACTACTCTAGGATACGAAGTGATGGTCTTTGTAACGTTGCCGCTCCTTACAATGATCGAAGAATTTTCTTGTGCGTTGTTATATATTTCAGAATTAAAAGCGCCATTTTATTAAATAGTCACGGTATTAACATTGTTTTTAGAAAGATTGAACAAACACTTAGCAACTAGGCATATTCAGTAAAGTACGGAAGTCTTTTTTTGACCCGACAATTAGCACAGGTAAATTCAACATTCAGTTAACTAACGAAGATCTTAATGCCATTTCGTCGTTCGGTCCTATCAAAACAGGACAATTAAGCTTTTTCCATGATGTAAAAACTGCATTAAGGTTCCTTCTTTCCAAAAATCAGTACCTTTTTATGTTCTTTTATTGAAAATAATGAGGTTAGTTCTGCAATGCATCAATACATATAAAATACACGTACACATTCCCACAGGTATTCATAAACGTATATGGCCATAGAAGCACTCACAGCTGGCACCAACTAATGAGAAAACGATAATGTGACATGGTAGGACACTGTAGAATACATGGATAAGATAAAACAGCTAACATTTTGATTACGCTTGTCGTATCCCGTATCGGCGTAGCATTTTCCCCCAGTTCGTCTCACTATAATCTTGTTCTACTTAGGCGCAACCTGCAGACCTCTGGGTTTGTGGCGACGTTTACGTTGTTCTCAAATTGTCGTTGTCCTATTCGTTCTTCCGCCAGATGGCTAAGAAGCAACGGAAAGCAAATGTCTTATTCTGTATCTGTACGATACAATAAGCTTGCTTTGCGATGAAAACAAACAAACCTATCGTCCTTCGTTCTTCCTCCAGCTCAGTTTAGCTACCTTGCTTATATTCCGTTCGTCGCATATCATAGTTGTCCCTATTGTTGCAGTTGTTGTCGATTCTACTATACGATTTTGCTGTCCGGCACATGCACATCGTTAGATGTAGTAAACAGGATTGAATAAGGAGAAGACGAGGACGGGCCGAATGGCTAAAAGGTAAACGAACCAAGGGCTCGTTGGTTAGATGGTGACCAAAGAAGCGGAGCCATTATAATGACGGTTCGAGATTTGACAGCGAGGGAAAATGGGGCAAAGGAGGCGTTGTCAGCAGATACCCTTTTGCGCATGTCGGCGTCACGGCACTTTTATGCTAGTCTACATTTCTGAATTATATCGGGCCAGCACCCGATGTGCGTCCTTCGCGCGTGCAGGATCTGCCTCTTAAGCAACAGTAACTGCACAGGTTGGACGGCGAGCAACGACAGCGACGAAGCTTGTAGAAAAAGCGGAAGAGCAGTAGCGATTGTTGTTAGTCAGCTCGCCCAACTGGTTGCATATCCATCTAGCATTAGATATGAATAGCAAGCAAGTTAAATGGCCTACCGTTACGCTGGAAAGCCATAGCAAGCCGTTCGTTCCTTGCGTTCAAGGGCACACCTACAAGCGACAAACAACTTCTGTTGCGCATACCGATAGAGATGTCTCATTATACCGCTACAATATTTCAGAGAGAGCATGCATATTGCTCTGGTCTTCATCTAAAGTCCAAGAAAGTCAGCTGAGAGAATCGAAGCTATGATGATATTTATATTTGTGCTACTATAATATTAAATAGATAAGTATGTATACTAATGCTTCTTACCAAATCTGTGCTACATAAATCAATTGATGCATTTTTTCATCGTATCAGCTAGTTCATTTGTATCATATATATATAATCGTTTGCCTCAGAAACATAAAACAATTACCAAATATTATCGATTTAAAGGTTGATAAAAGTGAATATCTATAATTGTAGAAGATGGGCTCGACGAATAGCAGTAAGGCAACAAACCTATAAATATAGACGAACTCCAGTCGCCAAATTGCACACCAAGGATTTTGAAGAATTTGATTAATATGCTTCTTACGTACATATAAGATATAGTACAAGCGACGTAGGAGAAAAATGGGAAGGAACACCGCGTTTTTAGAGTATTGCGAGAACGGCATTTGCTCAAAAATTGTCTTCTAGCGAGATGCAGCCTGTTTCCGACTCAAATATTAACAGTTTCTGTTATAAACGTTTCTCTTTCTGTCCATTTGCAATTCGTAACGTGACATAGACAGGACAAATTCACATCGATCAAGGACCTTCCGTTTCTAGTACAGCATCACTGCTGCATCTAGAAAACACAAACGATTTTAAAGACACGCTATAAACACACATCCACCGATAGCAGGACCCAATGTTTTTGCTGCTTCTTGACTGCGTTTCTATGTTCAGATGGGCTTATCTGCGACTTACAATCAACGGCGGCGGAGGCAAGCGGTTGAACTCTAGCAATGCTTGCGTTTAGTGCAGATTCACCAGGCTGAAAGTACTGGGAAAGCATGCAATACGCGAAAGGGTCCGACGAGCCTTTGGAAGGCGCGGCGCAATGTTCCGGCCCGTAATCTAGCTCGTCCGATTGTTTTAGGAACAGTCCTGTACATTGCTGACTTGTGATTATTTGGTAGCGAGCGCCTTCTGTCCGACGTACTATGTTCCGTTCGGCCTTTGAGAAAACAACTCAGCACTTGTCCCCCATGATGGAAACTAAAGGCGGTTTTATGCTAAAAGGAAGGAAGAACGGTATAGGATGCAACGACCGACTTTGCACCATAGCGGTCCCGCCAACTACAGCTTCGTCTTCTACTGCACACTATCTACCAGCTACGTACGAACACTGGCGGTGGTGGATAATGGCTCGTCCATCGAATGAACTGAGGCAGCTGGAAAGGGCAAACGAACGGGTGAGGGTGAAAAAGATCAAGGTAGGCGGGACGGAAAACAGAGCTAGGTAGCAAAAATAAGGCAAGAGGCGGGAGACTTTTGAGAAAACAGAGGTTCTATGCTAGCGTACGTTGCTAGCGAACCCTTATCCTTGTGATATGTAACGGTGGCGATCGTAGCGACGCCCGCGCCGGCATCTACAAGGCTTTAGATAAAGAGCTCAACGGACGAGGCCGACTTTCTATTTCATTCTTGTCGCTTACCCCTCTGCCCGGGCCTTTCGGTCAGGTGACCATGTGTCTTTATGATGACCTCTCCCCCTTAAATCTGAGTAAGGCGCGTAGTAACGACTTCGACGGACTGATGCGACGAACAAGACACTCCGAAGAACCGGCAAAGAGGAGTCGAGACGTTTGCCTATATCAACAGCATCTTTCCGACAAATATATTATTACCGGGTTGATCCGAAACGGTCTTTTCTGGCTTATATATGGCTTATATAGAACTATGCCACTGCTGCGGGTATCCCGGTATTTGGTCCCGTATATGTGACACAGAACAGCTAAACGCTGGAACAATAGAGGTCAGCAGTACTGTATTGTAGTTACTGGACTAAAAGAAATCACCGGAAGCAAAAAAATAAAGGGCGAAGGATGGTAAATGAGAAATGCTCCATTGCTGTTGTTTTTAAGTTGTACCCTGATTAATCTCCTTTGCTCACTCTCGTTGGCATCAAATCAATAAACTGATAATTTTTTCAATCGACTTCTACCGTAGATCCCTGAATCAGGGATGATTACTGCATCACAGATTGTTACAGTGGAAACTATTGTTACAACGAAGTTTAAAAACATCATCGTAAAGGTAGTTCAGACCGCTGTAGCAATCATAAGCAGCTAACAAAAGGCAAAGTTGCCCGTGCGTCATAAATCGTCACGCTCACCTCGGACTGACGCTGAAGGGTAAAGGGAAATACAGCGCAACGAGACAAAATAGACATATGTCGGCAGTTCCACTTAGAACAGAAGTTGGTTTCTGTTAAAGTTTTTTTTTTACTATAAAAAACAATGTAACAGAAAATTTTTGTCGAGGCACTTGTGCGTTTCGTACTTTCAATTGCACCTAGGACAGAGTTTGCTAGGACAGCCCCTGCTGCATTTAAACTTTTCTTTATCGTTTCAGGTATTGGATGGACGCGAGCACCTAGCGACCATTTCGGAAGCCAAGGAGGCGCTGTTCACTCACGAGCAAGGTAAGCGTTTTTAGCGATGTTTTTCGTGCCGGCTACATAAGATATTGAATCAGCTCCTTGGAGTAATCAGTGCAATGATTCGTCAAATCATCACTTAGTAACAATGGAATATGTACGCAATTAACACCTATTATACGTGCATCTCCTATTCGAAACGTAAATGAAAATCCAAAGACCAAACGGCACACCTAGACTACTTTTTGCGCAGTAATAAATTACTCTGGCCTATCCGTCAGGCTGAAGGTACCCAGCAGTAAAACCACAACCGTTCTTCTATGTGCACCTAGAATTTGAGGTCGTCTAGGTATTAACAAAATAATATAATCGGTCGTTTCGTAAACACTAAAGATATGGTGGTATCATTTATTGTTTTTTGCTCATCTTATATATTTATTATATATTTTGGTCATCAGTAGGGTTACATCGCAGGGTACGGATTAGCTTCGATAGCTGAGTTCATCTATGAGCCTGATCAGCAGTAGTAATATTTTCAAGTGTTACTACATCATTACTATCATGCAAGCATTGCCTGCCCTGTAAGATAAGTTTTAGGCCTGTCTAACAAGTAGCATATGATATCAGTCTTTCGGTCGAAAGCGACCTCTTATAGATTATAAGCTGGTACAGAATTTTTTTTTATTATCAGTAGGGCTACAATGAATGGTTCATCGTTCAAAGCTGTCTATTTTATCTTATAGGGGAACCTTATAGTTTTGATTACCTGCGATTCATGTGCATCCACCCAACCAACCTACAAGTAGCGAAAGAACCCCCTGTGAAAGATTCATATCGGCGAGCAAATCTCAAAACATTTTTTGGCTCAAAAAATAACTTAGTTTCAAAAATAATCTGAAATTCAAGTGCTATTGAGCTGGATAAGAAAAGTAAGTAGCGACTCAGGTCCGGCTACAACTGCACCTGAAAGCTTCCTCGTATGTTTCGTGTAAGTCTCTCTTCTTGCCGCTCGAAATTAACATCGCAGATTTTGTCGGACGTATTGAAGTACATTGAGTGCTCGAGAAAATCCGATCCGATCGTTTTTTCGATACGCCTTAGTAGCAGAATGAAACAGGCAATAACGAAACCATCAACTGGGGGGCTAAATGACAGGGCTCTCATCGGGGCATTCTCTTGGCACGACGAAGTTTAATACATACGAAGCTAGTGATATCTCCTTGTATTGCCTCTTGGAAAAAACCCATGCTGATAAAGTAATAAGCGGGCCCAACTAGCTAAAGCTGTTCATTTAGCAAGCCTGAATGGTTATCTACGATGACCCAAGATAACACTTAGGCATCTAATTGTTTCAGCGAAATGACAAGGACCTCCTCCTTTAGACTTTATTTTTATTATTGCTTGTTAAGGTGGCATTCAATAGTCGAAATGGTTACTATAACTAATTGTGTACTTTATGTTGTCTCCTTTTGCTCCTTAATCCACTTTACTCACAGCCACGTTTGCCAAGGTCAAATAGGCCCAATGACAACCTATCGTGTGAAATTCCGTGCGCCGCCCTTCTTTTCTCATCTGGCGCGTCTGTGTATGCTGTTCATGTACGTCGTTTTGATATGCTTTTAGCATGCACAGCCCCTTCAGAGCGTTCACCTTTAGTTTACTCTCCTAAAGGGTCCGTTTCTAAATCTCATAGCATCTACAGCTGTACCTGGGAATTAGTTCCTCATCCATGTGTTGGTAGTTTAGTTGATAGTAACGCAACACCCGCTACACTGTGGCGGGCATGAAAGGCACCTAGTGCAACTGTCTGATTTCTAGCTCGGCCATGGGTTACTGGAATTGAGCTGAATTGTTGTAGTCTTGCTGCCGGTTTGTAGCAGACACCTCTCTTCCGTTCTTTTTTTAACTGACCGCCGTCTTTCATGATTTCTTCTCGCTTGGTCTAGGTCTCCCTACGAGACTGCAGCGCTTTTCCGCCGGTCTCGCACAAGAGCCTATGAACAAATTGAAAAAAACAGAACTGCCGGGTTTCGCCAACCCGTTGTCCACTAGAGTCGACGAAATGAAGCCTTCGCAATTTCGATGACGGCCTGTCAGCAGGCACAGAGATCCGCCTATGGAGAATACTACCATAGTGGCCAGCAGTAGTTGGTAATATTGCCTCTATGTTAACCCTCATAAAAACTTCTTACCTATTTTACGGTTGCTTCTACAAGCTTTGGTTGATAAGCAGCAACCACCTGATCAACAGCAGGCCTTAGGCCTTACCAAGCAGGAAGGCCTGCCAAATACTAGTACGTTGCTCGCGTCAACGACAACAGTAACGCCGACAACAACAAATATAGCGTAGAAAAATGGTATAGCCATCGCCTTATGTTATTCGTATGCTAGCCATCGAGAAGTCTTTCATTCGGCGTCTATTTCTTGTCGCCGTACAGTAAACTGGTAATTTTTCGCGCACTACGCGTTGCAAGGCCATAGAAGATATAAGGGAAACAAAGGTAAGTAGAATGGCCCGGCTGTCCTGCCGTCTAGCTTTGTTTAACCGACGAAACGTCAGCGTTCGATGTTTGCGCTTTTACGTCAGGTATCGTCCATTCAATTGCATTGGGCTACGCTGTTGGATGGATGATTCATTCCTTGTATATTTGCAGTAACTCTGAAGAGTATTAGAAGATCTAGATCCCTGACTTTTCTTCTCATTTTCAAGTCCTAGTCTCCAGTGTTGTATTTAACTCTAGACTTGGGACAGGCACGAACCTTACGGACCAATAATAGAAACAGGGTAAAGAGCGCAGACTAGAGCAGACAAAACCAGTAGGAAGACTTAGCTGCACTTATTGTGGAAACGTTTGATGAGCAGCCAACACGCCCATCCACCCATCAGACATCGGTGCGAGGAGCGTCGGATTCTACATTTCATACCTCGAATTCCGGAACCTCATTGCCTGAATTCGACGCTGATTGAGTTTGAGTGGAACAGATGGGCATAGGGATTTAGAGCAAATAGAAAAATGCCTGTCAGGGAAGGCGAGATATAAGGCTGCATCTGAAACTGAGAATCCGGACAGTGAGCGAAAATGAAGGGTCGAAGAAGAAGCAAGGTAATCAAGGAAGACCTTCGATCACAGATCAGAAATAAAGAAAGGATGTCATGTCGATTGAACCCCTTGTCTTCTATCTTCTACTCGCTAACAATCTCGCTGTGGGTCATAGCCCCTCATCTAGCCATAGTATTATTATAATCATTATGGGGTCGTTGTTTAGCTGTAGAGCTCATATCTATTCACTCGCACCTAATATTCATTGGACTTGCAGCTATTTGTAAGGCTAGCAGCTCCGACACAGATGTAATCGTTGCAGTTTTAGCAGTAAAATGATTCTCATAATGACGCTCTCCTCCACCGCGCTGCCGACTCTCCGATGTTATACGGAAGATAGTGATTTGTGGGCAACGGCAAGCAACAGAGAAAGAGGCACATCTTCGTAGGCAGCCGCAACAGCGGGTGTGTGCGATTTACACGCATCTCTTGATTGCAGCAGCGGTCATTTAAGTAGTAGGACATAGGCAAAACCCGTAACACTAACGACAGCATCAGTTGTAGCCGAGCTTGGCAACAACTGCTGCAGTCTGCTGCAGCTCGGGAGCTCTGTGAGCCACACTGTAAGCCATTACTAGGGGGCTGCCACCTTCAGAATGTTTGCGCGCCTCATCCCATCAACGAGATATACGAGCCTGGGGTGGGCGTAAGCAGGCGACGAGGCGATGGCCCGTCCATTGCATCCCTTGCATATTGGCCCTGGCAATCAGTCAGCGACGACTGGGGTGCCTCGGCCGCTGTTACGGTTCCCTATTAACAGATTTATCGCACTAGGGAAAGACAGAGTCTATCTTGTTAGTGTTCTCATCGTAAGGCGAACACGAAGGGAGTAATCAGTTGCGGGCACGAGACGAAGAAGATGAGGGTCGTGTAATGTCGGTTCGAAGAGGATGCGATGTTTGCTCCATTCATACCAATCACAGCTTCTAAGGAAACTCCTGTCTGCATCGAAAAGGATGAAGAGCAGGCTGTGCATTGCCTGGTTTATTTTCGTCGCATTGCTTCAGGAACTTGACGGAAAGAAGCAAAGGCATACCAATGGACAAAGAAAAGCTGGCCGTCAACGTTCATTTTCGCCAAGTGCAGAGTGTGACCGAACTTCAGCACTTGTTCGCAACAAGATGAGCTTTACTAGGTGTGGACAGGCGGGCAGAGAATCGTATAAAGACTGCTATGTTGCCTGCCATTCTTACCTTTACTCATGCGTGCCATCTTGATAGCGACCAGCAACCGAAAACTTTCCTTTGTTCTTGAGAAATCTCAGTGACCTGCGTTTCTCAGCTGACTCTGCAGTCAGGAGCCTTAGGCCGTTGCTAGCAGTGCCAGCTATAGTTGTGGTAGCGCTTCAGCCAACATTAAGGGGCTCTAACATGTCGACGTCCCTCAATGCTAGGAGAACAATTGTTGCAACAAGACCTGCGATATCTGGGGAGACGAGTTTTCTATGCAGATTTGGTTTGTGTGTACGGAAGTAGTGACTCTCACCATGTTATTTATTCGAAACCCTTCGCGCTCTTTCCACCGGCCATCGCTGAGTCTTAAATCAAGTATCCGTCTACCTAAGAAATAAGTGGCAGGCAGATAATGAGGAGTCAATTCACTACTATTACCAGCACAACACTAGGATGGAAAGTTTTGAAAACCTCCCTTTGACTCCAAAACCCAATCAAGTTTCTTTGAACCCCTTTCCCCTTTTCTACCCAGTACCTTAGAGCTGCGCAGTAGCGCCAAGACATAAAAGGAGCCAACAATGCATTCGCAGGGCATAGAGTTGGTAACGTATAGAAAGGAATATAGAAAACATCAATGTTAATGGGGCATGCGCATTCCATAAACTTGCTAATATATTTATGCGACAAGATATATATAACATATTTAGATTAGAAAGACACCTGTCAGCACACTCACCAGTACTAATGCCTCTAGGGATGCTGTAAAGGGTAA